TAACATCAAGAAATCAGCACACATAATGTCAGGTAGCTTCAGCGACTCAGCTCCTCTATTTCATGGCCTCCTCCAAAGGGCTTTCACAAAGGGCGGAAGCTGGAGAAGATTGGCCTGAAAGCCCTGGTCCTCATCTGCATCTCTGAATGGTTTTCTTGGCATCTTTTTTATTTATCAGGGATAGAATAAGGTCATGGTAATGACTAGTTTACTAGGTTTACTAGTTTACTAAGTTTTGACTAGTTTACTGCTTAATAGTGTTCGTTTCGTGCTCGTTTCATTACATCCTCTCACTTGTGTTTCTGCTTCTTTCAAAGGACACAGCTGAGTTATTCTTCCAGGATGTGCGCCTCCCAGCTGATGCCCTCTTAGGAGAACTCAACAAAGATTTCTATTACCTGATGAATGAACTCCCTTAGGTGAACACAACATCTATGGCATGTTCACTTAACACTTAATGCCTCCTCTGCAGAAGGACCAGCTCTCTGTACCTTTGACGTGTGTAGAGATCCAGCCTGATTTCACCCAGATGCAACAAAAATGAGCAGAAACAGCTCTTCCTTACTTTTATTTTTCTTTGGTGTCTTATCACTCATATATGCAACTTCCCAGTCCCCCCAGGTCCTCAGCTTCTGGATTGCTGTCTGCTCCCCTGGCTGGCTCGCCAATTATATTCTGGCAAAAACAGGACTACTTTTAGTCCCTGATAATAAGAGTTAGTTATTTATGTAAACGGAGGAATAAACACATGTGGGGCATCAGCTTTCACAGGAATACACACACCAACGTGACTTTATTAAACTCTCACAGATGCGCTGCAAAATGACACGTCATGTCCTTTCAAAATAAAATCCCAACAGATGACAATGAGGGCATACCCATTAACTAGTCCAACAATACGACCAAGACCAAGATAAATAAAAATGACGAGTGCTGGCTCTGCATAGTTTGTTTACCTGACAGCATTGTTTGGTATGTTTGTCACAAAGATCAACCAGCTGAACTGGGTAGAGAATAAATGAGAAAATAAGTAACCACACAAGAAATGTTAAAGTAATCTGGTTTATGTTTTGTGTGTCTGAAAGATGAAAAAGGAGAGAAAAATAGCTTTAAGCAGCTATAAACATAAAATTAAGAAATTGGGGCAGCACGGTGGCACAGTGGTTAGCACTGTTGCCTCACAGCAAAAAGGTCCTGAGTTCAATTCCACCATCAGGCCGGGGTCTTTCTGTGTGGAGTTCTCCCCGTGTTTGCGTGGGTTTTCTTCGGGTACTCCGGCTTCCTCCCACCGTCCAAAGACATGCAGCTTGTGGGGATAGGTTAATTGGATAATCCAAATTGCCACTAGGTGTGAATGTGAGTGTGAATGGTTGTCTGTCCCTATGTGTTAGTCCAGACTGGCGACCTGTCCAGGGTGTACCCCGCCTTTCGCCCTATGACAGCTGGGATAGGCTCCAGTGCCCCCGCGACCCTGAAAAGGATAAGCGGAAGCGGATGGATGAATGGATATTTAAAAAAATATTATTCTGCTCAAATAATATTTGTTAAAATTATGGAATAATGTTTCAAAACAGATGATTAGGGTCCAGTGAAAAAAGACTGATTGAACAATTAAATGTAGCTAGCTATATAGCTAGCCAAATTATGTTAAAGCTCTATCATTGGAAAACTATATGCATTTTATTATCAGTTACTGTGGGACTGTTTGAACTAGGTCAACCAAATTTTGATATATTAAACTTAAACTGATCTATCTTTGTCTGTGTGCTTTACAGATCACTCCATATCTTTCACAGTGTTTAAATGAGAAGCTGGTGTTAGAGATGCTGTTTTATCTCTTTATTATATTTCACCATGTGACAGGAAGAATGCAATAAACAAATAAAGACAAATAAACCAGCAGATTTCCATCATTTGGTTTGTCTTTGGTTTCTTAAAGCAGCTGATGCGCTTGCCTGGAACATTTTTGTTGGGCACAAAGTGTGAATCACCTTGTTACTCTGAAATAACACAAAAAAATCGTGCAGTTATTTAATTAAAACCCATCTGCTGTTGGCGTGCTTTTTTTGGCCTATAAATGTCAGAAAATTGCCTTAAACTCTAAATTACTGCAATGAGTGTGTTCGCAATAGGATAACCCCCAGCAATAGGTGGAAATGCTGAGCAACAAATCAACAGAAGACAATAGTGATGGGATTTCCGGCTCTTTTTAGAGAACCGGCTCTTTCGGTTCGGCTCACTAAAAAGAACCGGCTCTTCAGGTTGTTTTGTTGCTTTAATTAATTTATTATTAACAACAATATAAAATTATGCCCAAAAGGAATTACTAATGTAAAAAAAAGTGGTTTTATTTATATATGTTTATATATAAATATATGCGGTGGCCCCTAGAGAGAAAACACGTATAAACTCCAAAAAGCACGTACATACTCCAAAACACATTTCTAGCAAGTACTGAACTTCCAAAACAGAGCTACCTAGATCACTTAAATTACACAATTGAAAGCATGAAAGCATATGTGTATTGTTTGTGTATTTATACACAAGCATTCATATATAGTCAAATAATTAAAAAAAAAAGTTCATTTACCTGTTACTACCACACACCAAATCCGGTCGTTGGTACTTGCTGGCTTGTGTAGCCACTACGTAACAAAAGCTCAACACTGCCCATCCTGGAGCACTTCTGTTGTCTTTTGTACATGTTTTGAGTTTTTATGTGCTTCGGAGTTTGTACGTGTTTACGTGATTTGAAGTTTGTATGTGCTTTGTCTGTAGAGGCCACTGTAAATATACTTTTATTTATTCACTCCACATAAAATGTAATAAATGAATCATATAATACAAAAATCAACTATTCACATTTCAACTTTTAACTATTTAAATTTTCAGCTTTTTCCTTTTACAAATTTAAAGTGAAACAACACAAAACACTGCAAACCACAACACAATTAAATATAAATTAAAATATGAAAACAAAAAGAACATGCATATTCTCTGTCATATGGGCCTGCATAAATAAACTTTCTGAATCCTTTATCATCCGCAACTGAAAATAGTTGTGGATGATTACTATACCTTTCTAATGTGACCTTGTTGTCCCTGGCTCTCTTTCTCTCCCTCCTGCTCTGTTCCTGTGCTACTGAGTGTAACTACCGTCCCTCACCCCCTCTTCCCAGCATAAAGCACAAGGCTCACATGCTGAGTGAAGCCGAAAAAAGTGCGAGAGAGAGAGGGTGAGAGAAAAACAAAAATAAAAAAACACAGTTGGCGATTAGTGATGTGCGATACCACTGATTTCCTTTCCGATCTGATACCAAGTAATATTCAGGGTGGTATCGACGATACTGATCCAATATGATACTTTGTACAAAAACGTATTTTATTTATTGTATCTCAAATTATAGCGTCATAATGATTACAGGACATCAGATTACTTGTTCTTATCACTTAATAATGCAGAGTTCATCATATAGAAATAAAAAACCTGAAGTCTATTTGAACACCTTGCCTGGCTGCAGCACTAAAGGACTCCGTGAGAGGCTTCTGTCTCGCCCTAGCAGCACCTGTCCCTCTCCTCCTCTTCAGTTCATCTCAACATACGCGCCTCATATTCTGTGATATGATTTACTCTGAGGTGTTTGACAAGGTTAGTGATGTTGCCACAACCATACATGCCAACCCTGCTGATTTTTCCGGGAGAATCCCGGAGCCACCATTCTCCCGAATTTCCACCTGGACAACAAAATTGAAAAACCATATCTCAGAATTCATAGCCCAGCCAATTCCAGTTTCCAACAATGGCGGCAGCTACTTAGTTTTAATATTACTCTTATTTCTCTTTCTGGGTCGCAAAAAAAAAACAACTTTTAACATGTTTTCAGGTGAGAATGTAGCTGTGTAAACTTCAAATATCTGAGCCAATCGACGCATCGTTTTCAAACCCCCGTGGCCTTTCGCTACTCGGGTTAAACATGATATATAAGTCACTTTGATAACTTAAAAATGTTATTGTTTGGATTTTTCGGTGTTTTATTTGTTCGTGAGTAAATCGGTTTGGCTGGGATTAAAGTTATTAGATTAGATTCAATTTAACTTTATTAATCCCTCGGGTGGGTTTCTCCAGGGTTTTCACACAGCTGAATAAACATCGAACAGAAAACTAATTAAAGAAAGTGTGAGACGGTCGAGAGTTTACGCCAGCGCCCGGTTATATTTTAGAAAGCAAGGAGCAGACGGCAGTTTCACTCCACCGAGGGAACTCGTGACGTACTACCCGGCTTTCTTTAGACCGCGAAGGCCGGGTCCTCAGGTGGAAGCAGCCTCTGAATTTGGACATCCCCGCTGTTTCCGGGCCGGCTAATAATAACGGTGACATTTAACGTATTTTATCTGATAAATAAACACTGTAAAATGTATTTATCACCCCCCCAAACAGTCCTTTTGAATGTCTCCCTAATTCTGAGGTCTCAAGGTTGGGAAAGTATAGCCACAACACCTCACTCTTGGAGCACTTTTTTGCCACATGTATCGCAAACCATGTCTCAGCTGTTTGTGGAGGTAAAATACATACATGAATGGTGAAATAAAAAATGTCATACAGGCTTTTACAAGTCAACAAGTGCAAAAAGAAGAGGACAGTTGGTCACCCTATTTTATGGACTAAACAAATCGTTTGTATTTGTGATATTAACGTAGTTTAAAGCAAATTCCCGCTTTATTTGGACTCAATCATAAGCGAGACCCACCTCACATAACAACCATACTTCTCAGGCGTTCACATTTAAAGGCACCCGTGAAACGAACCGAGTGATGCTGGATCTTATTGATTTATTGCAAAAGGAATCTGGAAGTAAAAGTTATCAGGCCTTGTTTCAGTTTTTAAAAGAGGGTAAATTGTTTGAAAGGATTTGGGGGGTTGTTTGTTTTGAGCGACGTTCCAGCCCACACTCCATACCAGTTGGTGGCGGTAATGCACCTTTCAGTTGTTTGCCAACCGCCAATAAAAATGTAGAAGAAGAAGAAGAAGACGCGGTGCAGAATCTAGTGTCGCTCAAACGATCTTTTCTCTTTTCGTCTTTTTCCTGTGAAGTTGTACGTTGATTCGAATATGTTGGCGAACAGAATAATCGGAACTTGTGTTTTCGGACTGAGAAATGTGTCTGGAAGAGGACGGCCGCTCGCTGCAGTTTCTGCGAGGTAAAAATGCGCAGTTAAAGTTGTTTCTGGTGAGCTGGAGCCGCATCTGTCGATATCAGCGCAAAGAAATGCATTCAAAGCTGTGAGCGGAACATTTACGCTTTTTTAGGAAATAGTTTTACTTTGCATGATATTAGTAATATTTTTTATATTTCACTGTAGAAGTCGCGGAGCATTTTTATAGTACAGAAAAAGGTCGGACTGTATGATGTGTGTGTGCGGTTACCTTTGACACACTTTATTGTGACCTATTGTTTACATGGAGACCTTTAATGTGAAAATCGAAACCAGAATCTCAAAATTTAGAGAACGTTTTAAAATTACAGCAGTCTAAAAATGAAGATACACGAGTTTGGCCATTTTTATCTAAATAAAACATGTTATGGTTGAGAGTTGTTGTTGTTGTTTAAATCGTATTGAAGTCTCCACACATTGAAGTGTGCCTAAAGGTAGTTTGAAAGCTTCCCATATTAAATAAACTGTCTGTGTGCTGAAGAGATGTCAACTGAAGCTGATCTGACAAGGCTGTACATCCATGTAATTCCATGTAAAGTTGGTGTAACCTTTATTTGAGGCGTCATTAAGAAATCATTCTTATTTACAGTGGCAACGAGGGAAGAAAAGCAAAGCAGAGGTAGTTAAAGTGTAAAATCTCACCAGTAGATGTCAGTGGGTTGTAGATTGTAGTCAACGGAGTTTGTTTTCTTACCTCTTCCAATTCAAGTCACTATAAGACAATAGGGGGGGGGGGGTCCATACTGTGTAGTATCGTGATATTTTGTTTGCTAATAATGTATCAATACAGGGACAGCTGAAATCGATATTTAGTTACAAAAAAAGTTTTTGTGGACTGGAACTCTGACTTCAGAGCATGTTGATCCTTTTTCTGAGCAAGAATCCTGACACTGTCCAAATGTGTTTAACTTTTTTTTTGGCAGCAATAAACATGACAGTTTACTTATTTTAATTTAAGACATGTTTTATTTTAATTAAGTTTAAAACTTTTTTATTTAATGTAAAATTATATTTTGTTTTAATTTACTTTCAAATTCTTCAGTTGCTGAATGGGCTGCATAGTTTTTATAAATAGCTATAATTGTACCAGATGGTTGCATTCAGTTCAGTTGGACTAGACTGTAATACAAGCCGTTCAGTTTGTCAACAATAAAACTGACTGAAATGAGAGAAAGACTGAGTGTGAGACTTTGATATTAGATAAAATGAATATTGATAACGTTTACCTTTATGTACAGAATCTGAATATCGCAAAATATTTTAAAAAATTGCAATAATATCATATCGTGAGTTAAATATTGTGATAATATCGTATCGTGGGATGTATGGTGATTCCCACCTCTATAAGACAACCATATTGTAGTAAGCTAAGCGCTCATTTTTGTGCACTCTATATTTTTAAATATTTGAATAATGTTAACACTTAGCAATTGATTTGCATCAATTAATTGTTTTGCAGGATTTCACATTTTTTACCCACGAGTCACCTCAAAAACTGACCGCTGAGTGAGTTAATTTGTCATGGAGCTCCCAGGTCAGGCACTTGCTGGCTGTATAGTGATGGATGGTTGAATTTCTGTCCCCACAGATTTCAGCACAATAAGTCTGAGGAGTTCAGGCAGCCCGCATCCTCAGGCCGACCTGAGACCTCTAGCGCCAAATCCCTGATGGACATCGGGACCCGCCGGATCTTCAATGAGGACCATGACCTCTTCAGACAAAATGTGCGGCGCTTCTTCCAAGAGGAAGTAGTGCCTTACCACAAAGAGTAGGTGGAAGTTTGATGACCTACCAAGAATTATTAAAATAAGCCTTTAATAGCTTTACTTCAACTGTTTTTTGTTGCAGGTGGGAGAAGGCAGGTCAGGTGAGCAGGGAGGTGTGGGAAAAGGCTGGTGAGCAAGGTCTGCTGGGAGTAATGACAGCAGAAGAGCATGGTGGCATAGGAGGAGACCTGTTTTCTGCAGCTGTCACATGGGAGGAGCAGTGAGTTGTCCTTCAAACCACCGTTCTATATCTGAAGCTATTCACCGACATTCAGAGAGACTGAAATATTTTAGCAATGAGTTCCAGCTGAGATGTGATTTTAAAAACACAAGAAAGAGAATTAAGCTTTTTCCAAGTGAGGACATGTGATCGATCCATTGCTGCAGTTGTTTTTTTTTTTTTATCCAGGTATGATTTTACCACTTCAGAAAGCTTGGAGAACTGTTGCTCAATACCATTTTAAAAAAACAATCACAAGAAAGTAGCTTTAGTGATGATGACCAGTGTATTTGCCAGATAGTCAGCTATCTCTTCATCCTTCATCTCATCTCTGCTGTCTGCACCACTACAGAATGTATTGCAACTGCACAGGCCCAGGTTTTGCGCTGCACTCTGACATCGTCATGCCCTACATCGTCAACTACGGCAGCAAGGAACAGATCAAACACTTCATCCCAAAGATGACCGCTGGGAAATGTATCGCTGCCATCGCCATGACTGAGCCAGGAGCAGGCAGGTCAGGACTCAATCACAGATTGTAACATCAAGAAATCAGCACACATAATGTCAGGTAGCTTCAGCGACTCAGCTCCTCTATTTTTTTCCAGTGACCTTCAGGGTGTGAGGACGTATGCCAAGAAGGATGGCAGTGACTGGATCCTCAACGGCAACAAGGTACTGAGTCAAGACTTCAAAAGTATCCACTCAATTACATTTAAAGTCCAGTATAGATATTACTCCATCTGACCTCTTCAGGTATTTATTACAAATGGTTGGATGGCAGATCTGGTGGTGGTAGTGACCGTGACCAACCGAGAGGCGAAGACGGCAGCACACGGGATCAGTCTGTTCCTGGTGAAGGAGGGCATGAAGGGCTTTCACAAAGGGCGGAAGCTGGAGAAGATTGGCCTGAAAGCCCAGGTACCAGGGTCATGGAAATATATGAAGTGCCCCTACATCATTTTTTGTGGTCTACAAGTGTAGGTTTAACTGGTTCAGTGTTTCAAAATCAAAAAGAAGTATCTGTCTGAAACAGCTTTTGTGTCTGTGGGACGATCAGACTGCTCTGATTGTTCAGCTGAAGAAACAAAGGCAATTTTGATTGCACATATAACTCTCTTAGCACTTTAAATTTCAAACCTTTACTGTAAATTACAGTTTATACAAATGCATGAGGCTAAAAAGTGACAACAGAACTTTGTCATTTGTGCTACTAAGGATTTATACTTCATTACATCCTCTCACTTGTGTTTCTGCTTCTTTCAAAGGACACAGCTGAGTTATTCTTCGAGGATGTGCGCCTCCCAGCTGATGCCCTCTTAGGAGAACTCAACAAAGGTTTCTATTACCTGATGAATGAACTCCCTCAGGTGAACACAACATTTATGGCATGTTCATATCAGAAACATTTAATGCCTCCACTGAAGGAGTAACTCTCTGTACCTTGAACCTGGGTGGAGATCCAGTCTGGCTGCACCCATATTTTTACAAAATGAAATGCCTAAAACATCTTTATATTCATAACTTGAACCTACAGACATGTATCTTTGGATTTTTAGCCTCATCGTCTTTGTACTTTGGCACTCCTAAATATGTTTTATCACGTGCTTGTACACATCATCTGCATATAACGTCTCACTTGGGTTCATTTGACGTCAAACAACCTTTTCCCTTCTCTAGGAGCGTCTGCTGATTGCTGACATGGCCATAGCGAGTTGTGAGTTCATGTTTGAGGAAACCAGAAATTATGTAATGCAGCGGAAGGCTTTCGGCAAAACAGTCGCTCACCTTCAGGTCTTTATAGTAATTCTTTTGGTGAATATTTTTAGGATATTTCATGTAAGGATATAGTCTGTCCTGATGAGTTCCTATTAAAAGAGGACCAGTTTATCAAATCATCCTCCCAGTCATCATACTATCTGTTTTTTGTCTTTGCGCTCCACAGACTGTGCAGCACAAGCTAGCAGAGCTAAAGACCGAGATCTGTGTGGTTCGAGCCTTCCTGGATAGCTGCCTTCAGCTCCATGCTGAGAAAAGCCTGGATCCTGCCACGGCCTCCATGGCCAAGTATTGGTGAGTTTTTGGAGTTTACCACCTCATGATCTTAAGGCTAAGGCTTAAGGCTGTGTTGTTGTCACGCGCTGATGTACTTCATCTTATCTGAAGGGCATCTGACCTCCAGAACAGAGTGGCCACTCAGTGCCTGCAGCTCCACGGAGGCTGGGGGTACATGTGGGAATACCCCATCGCCAAGTTAGTATCACGTAAACATTGCAACAGAGAGCTTTGATTGTTTTGGGTTTTTTTCCAGCTCATCAACATGTTTGCGTTTTCAGGGCATTTGTGGACTCGCGAGTTCAGCCTATCTACGGAGGAACCAACGAGATCATGAAGGAGCTCATCGCTCGTACCATCGTCAGCCAGAAGTGAAACTGGGTTGTCGTTTTTTGTAACCTTTTTTTTTTTTTTTTTTTAAAACAAAACCCACAAAACTGTTAATAAAGATCTCCAGTTTAGTTTTTTTTTCTGTAGGTGTTACACTCATATCGTTATGTGAATTATTTCGGCTGTGATAGCCGTGCAGTGGAAGTGTGAATGTGAACACCAGTACGTCCACTGGTTTAATTATACTTGAAATTTTCAGATCGATAAAGGGAATAAAAGAACACTGTTTGCTCTTTGCTCTAATTCTGTAAATGTTCAACCACTGTATTCCCCTTTATGCCCCTTATAAAGAGAAGTTTTGAGCAGCAGGTGGGCGGAGCTTCTGCACTCACACGACTGTATATGTAATATTAAGGATGGACATACACTGACCTCATGAGTTGAATCTTTGGACATAATAATAATAATTTTAGCATTCAGCATTGCTACGGTACACATATGACAGGAAATACAGAGAATTTTCTTTAAGTTTGTCAGCAATGCCTTGTTTTAGCATTGATAATGTGGCCAGTCTGCATCAGATTAAAGATATCTGACATAATTTCCCTTATAGGAGGTTTTCTTTTTCAAAATCAGTGTTTTTTAATATGCACTTAAATGCCTGCTTTCATAATCTGCCACTCTTAGTTAATTTACAAGCGGCATGAACAATGTTTAACACTAGACACTTGTTGTAAATTGATTTATTTGCCATTCAAAGTGCATGAAGCACTAACTTTGTGCCAGTGGTTCTCAGCTCTTGTTTGTGAGTGTCATGAATGTAATTAAATAAATGACATGGAGTGTGACTGAGAAGGGAGACTCCTCTAAATGCCAATTTTAGATTCTGTACATGGAACATCCCCCAGATTTTTGGAAAAAGTCCTAGCTTTTTTTTAAACATTTTTGAGCCCTCGTAACTTCCTAAAAAATAGGATATATCTATTTGAAATTTTCAGGCCTGAAAATATATTTCAGGTCTTAAAAGCTACAATCAAGACAAAATTTTCACATGTTCCAAGTTTAAGAATTCAAGACTGGCAGGTCAGGTAAGCAGGGAGGTGTTTTACCTCTCGAAGATCCTCTGAAGTTTCAGAAACATCTTTCGGATACGGTTCCCTGATGTGTTAGCTTCAGGGAACATCTAGTGACAGCTTATTGAAAGTTATGTCACTCTGCAAGTCTCTCTACATACAGCACAGACTGTAGCAGGTTTAAGATCAATGGGGTGGAACTGTCTGCATCATTACATAAACATGAATTATGAATTACTGGCAAGTGTTAATTATAATTAACTCAGATTTGTGCATACTTGCATTCTTAATTCATCAGTTATGGGTTGTTTTAGTTAAACATCAAAATAAAGATGTCTGCTTTAAGTGCCACACTGATTTATGCTGCATATACTATGCTTAATAATATGGCAGCGTCAACATCTTCAGTGCATTGACTTACTTCCATCAGTAGGTGGCAGTAAGGGACTGCTCCAACCTGGAGGAGCCCATGAGAAATGACAGTGCAGTGGAAAAAAGCAGGCTGTTGAATTAGACCTGATGATTCAAAGCATCCCTTCAAAGTTTGAAGCTCGGTTTTTTTGCACGTTAGGCTTGCTGGTGACCATGTTTTCTGCACATTTATTCAGAATTTTGGAGCATCAGTGTTTCAGAGCTTGTGTATATTTGTAAATATGGAGTCATGTCATTGTCTGTGACCATCACGCCTCACCTCGAGGGCACTGTGAGAGTATCTGCTGTTGACTAGAGGTGGCTCAAATTGATCCAAATATATGGGTAATGCTGTACCAATAATTGGTATCGCTGGATACTTTGTTTCTGTCCTCCAAGTTCAATATGTATCCTGCTTAATTGTTCTAAATAAGTTATTGTTTTTGAAAACTAAAAAATAGACCTCAAACATTCATTATGAAAGATGTCCCCACCTTTTTGTGTTAACTGTCAGTCAGTCTGTTTTATTTACTGTTTCGTTTAAAGCCTGTAACGCATTTAAACAGTAGAGGTTGACCCAAAGTTCTTTATAGCCAGGCACATTTAGGTTCCAGGTCTAAAATAAATGTTTCGATTACGTTAAACGCTGATCATTCGTCAGATAAATCGTGGGCTTTATGAGATCAACATAAGCTGCCTTTGTCAGTTGAGCCTATTGTTATCTGTATTAGTATAGCAATACTACTGCACAGCTCTCGTGTTCACTGGTCCATTCCTCTGCCTCCTTCCCATTTTCCCCCATAGCCCCACTCGTCTAACCCCCTCCTCTCCTTTTTCTTCTCCATCTTCCCTCAGCAACAGCCACACCCCGGTGCTTCAGCTCCGCACTCACATCCACTGCAGACAGAGAGCTGACCCCTTTGCAGCAAATCACTCAAAGCCCTTTAGCAATGACCTGACATCAAACCTTTACACCTATATGTGCGTGTGTCAGTATTTACAGGAGCTGCGTTGTGTTTTCTTTATTTTTGTGTTTTTACACTACAAAGATGTTGCACAGATTCTACATCATCGCATACTGAAGCCACATAATCCGCCTTGCGCGCAGACTTCTGCATTTACGGTAGCTTCATTTGCAACGGGGAGGGGCCACAGGGCCCCATACCGCTCTCATTGTCACCACAGCTCTTTTCCTATCCAAGGGCATTAGTGCCGCTCAGCAGCCTGAACCTCCAGGTAAGACCCAAATCGCTTTGCTTCGTCATGTGCGGGGAAATTAGACTTTACGATGGCGCAAAGCAGCGCGGATGCGCAAATTTAAGATGTAGGATTGCGACACCGGCTGCTGGGAAAGTTTGACAAAAAGTCAGTCTGCACATCAATGTCGCTGTCCACTAATCCTCTGCTGCTGTGCGTGGTTATGGTGTTAATTATGGTTATGTGCGTGATTCTTAGAGAGAATGGGGGATATCTGCGAGTGTGGCGGATTGAAATGCGTGCCTTTTAAAGTCGCTTTTCAGTGGAGACTTGTATTTAAAATGCTGTTAGGCAGATGTGTTAACCTGGGTATTAATTTGCGGCATTTGTCACCGTCTCGCTGCGTCCCTGCGAGGCTCTCTGCGCTGCTGCATCCTGCGCCTTTTGTTCTGGTCCACGCCTGCATGGTGCTGAAACCGGCGCCGCTCGCAGCCATCCACTGCAGGAAAGGATCCCCCTTTTTCTGCAGTGGATATTTACAAGGAAAACTGTAAATATAAGTGCAATATAATTGTGGATTATTATAGTTATCCCCATCTCACCCCCATCTCACCCCCCCCCCCCCCTTTTCGGGATATTACCGATTTGTCAATGCGTTATGATGGGAGTAGCCCAGCGTCTACTTGGCATTATAGGCACCACCACCACCTCTCACCAGCAAAATGTAGTTTGAAGGAAGCCTTTTATGTGACTCAAATTAATAACAATGTCCTTGTTATGACAGCTGAAAGCCAAAACCATATTCTGGGATCTTCCCTGACGGACTCTGATATCGTTTTACAGCCTTAAATATATGTGCTCAGTCACAGATAGTGATCTGAAAATCTGCAGGCTAAAAGGGTCTGTTTCAGTTCTGCATCCTTTCAGCATCTCCCGAGCCTCAGTGCAGTGAGGAGAAGCAGGAACTCTGTAGAATTTTAAGTGTGAAAACAGTCTTTTATGGAAAGGAATTCAAGAGTTTGTGTGTTTGGACATTCCAGTTCCTGCCTCAGAAGATCCTGGCTGTAGACGAGATGTAGAGGGAAATCAGTGCCTTGGCATGTTGGGGATGTCCAAGCTTGGTAACCTGAGATCCCCCCAAAGTTCAGCTTAATGCATTGTGGTTGCTTGTTCAGTCAGATTCGATTTGATCACGAAAAGTGGAATTTGTTTTACCAGCAGTAATGAGTCAGAGGAACGTAGTAGAAATGGACTGATTGTTTTCACGAGAGTTTTTCCTAAAGCCCCATGTAATTCAGGTTCACATTAATGGCAGATTCAGATAAACATGCAAAACATATTTGCCTGTTTGACACAGAATAGGTGTTTCTTGGCTTAGGCCGAATGAAGGTTGACAAAGTGCATTAGCACAGCAGGTGAGATGTGAATCAAGTTTCGCCTGCTTCTCCTGTAAAGACAAGCCTCTGTCAGACCAGATTGGGCTGAGTCTAATCACTGACAGAAATGACCTTAATCAGGGCACGACAGGTTGGGGTTTTGTGTGTGTGCTCACTCTTAATGTCTTTAAATTTCAGTTGTAGTGTGTGTGTGTGTGTGTGTGTGTGTGTGTGTGTGTGTGTGTGTGTGTGTGTGTGTGTGTGTGTGTGTGTAAGCCATATCTAGCCATTTCTTGCTCATATAACCACCAGGAAACCTGAGCCGCCTCCCTGCACCACTTTGGGTGACCTTAAGTAAATCTCCCATCGTTGATTCTGGTTAGGTCCTGGAACCACAGACCTGTCATCCACTCCACTGGAATTTAGACACATCATCTTCGTTGGCCCTTCCTGATGACAAGCGATTGCATTAGAGTTGTGTCTGGAATCACGATCAGTCTCTGATATTGCTCATTATTCAAGAATTTATGTGCATTCTAGCTTGTTGGTGAAGTAGATTACTGCAGTACACCTCAGTGCCTCAGACACAGGTGTTTAAGGTCTCAGGACATATCTGTTGCTCCCGTCTGAGGCTCCTTTTGTTCCACAGGTGTCTAATGGGAGATGGCAGAGCTGTGCTTTAGTACGTGATTAAGTCTCAACTGTGAGAGGGACCTAATCTAATTCGCCTACGTCAGAAGAACCAAACGGCCCACTGACCTGCATATCAAGTGCACACACACTTGATATGCAGCTTCTTGACATACTCAAGTGATAGAAAAGATCATAGAAATGAGACAAAAAATATTTTATTTATTCCCCATATCTGGGAATTTATTTTTTACAGCAAGTGGAAGAATGGTAATAATAATAATAGTATTGTATACTTTAATATAATGTAAATGATTATAGTAAAGTGTGAGTTCAGCCACATTTCCATGAAGTTTATAGTATTATTACTATTCATCATCACTGTGAACTCCATCTTTTTTCACTATACAAAGTCTTCCTGTCCAACGATACTTTGAATAGGCTGGGAGTCAATTGACTTTGCGACTTGTAGCCTTAAACTCCACATGATGATAGCTTCAGCTCTGCAGCCCTGTTGCTTCTTCTCTAGCATTAGCATCACGCATGTACTCAGTGCTGTCAACTGGCACAGCTGGCAAATATAAATTGTTTAAAAATCCAAAAGCAAGAAAAAAAGATTTGTAAAGTAGTAAAGTAATTAGTAATTAAGAATAATTGAGTAAGTGATTAAGGAAATGCTGAAAAAAGCAAGAAAAACACACGAGAGCTTCAACAGGCTGCCACTCAGCAGTGTGCCATGTTAATTAGGACCTACAAGTCTTTTGTCAGGCATGGATGAAGAGCATTGTGAACGTCATTCTTTTTTCAGTAATGAATGAACTTATCATTGACGTAGGCACTTGTCCACCAAGGCCGTTTCTAGTATCCCGCTCTTTAAAAGAAGATACAGCTGTCAGAGACACTTTGTATGCACAGGAAGCATGCTGTAACAACAGAGGACAGATGGATGTAGCGGGTCCCTAAGCTGTGGGATAGGAGCAGAGGTGATCAGTCCTAGAAAAAGGCCTACAGCTTTTTGGATTCAACAATAATGCAGAATCTGCTGTCTAGTTGTAGTAGGAAGAGCTGGTAAAGTCTAAACTAGTGTGTGTTAATTGAGCTTAACCACACAGATTCTTCATCTTGTGACCTCCTTGTTACAAGATAGTCTCTCTAATCACT